ATCAAGAGAGAAGCAGCTGAGGGTCAGAATCGGGGGCAGCTGGAATGGGGATCCCCCCCATTCCTCCACCGCCTTGCCCCCCTGAACACCTGGGCCCTACCTGCTTCTCGTAGGCCTCCGCAGCCCGCCGATACTCGCCCATCTTGCAGAAAAGGTCCCCCAGTTGCTCCGAGAGTCCCAGGGCTGCCCCCAGGTCGCTGGTGGCCTCTGCCTCCTCCAGGGCTTCTTGCAAGCGACTCACCTTCGTGGCTGCCAGGCAGGAAGAATCACACCAGAGTGGTGAGGGGCAGGGGCCAGCCTCTAACCCCATGGTTCTGACCCAGCTCCCCAAACACGGCAAACCCTCTGACGTGAACTTAAAAGATTCCTTTAATTAGGAGCCCTGGCAAAAAAGGTTTCTCTCTCAACGCAGGCTAACAAGTCTGTCCATCCGGGAGATGAGTAGTTGTCTGCCACATTTCTTAATCTCCGCCCCCTGCCTTTTATCCCCAGAGCTAGGATGGGGCTTTGCTAGCAGCAGTGGCTCTTCCGTCCCGAGGACCGGCCCATAGATTTCCACTGCTCTCCTCTCCTCGGCAAAAAAGTTTCTCTTACCGCAGGCTAACAAGTCTGTATGGCCGGAAGATGAGTAGTTGTCTGCCACACCTATTCATCTCCACCCCCTGCCTTGTATGCCCAGAGCAAGAATGGGGCTTTGCTAGCAGCAGTGGCTCTTCCATCCCAAGGACCAGCCCATTGATTTCCACTGCTCTCCTCTCCTCTGCACATCCGCACATCAGGCACTGGACCCGGCTGTTCCTTCTCTTCCTCATCAGCCACCTCCAGACCTAGGGACTGTTGACATTTGAGGGCTGACAAATGGCCCAGGGCTCTCTCTCTCTCTCTCCTTTCTCTTTCTGCTTCTTTCTCTCTCCGTTCTCTCTCTCTCTCTCTGCCAGCTCCATTCCCTCTTTCCCCCTCGGAGCTCTCAGGTTGCCTTGATGCTGATCCTGACTCCCACGCCTCCTCTTCCTCCTCCTCCTCCTCCTGATTCGGCTGCTGGAGGGGCTGGAGGCCAACAGGCCACACCACCAATAGCAGAGGCCAGACCCACAGACACCAGCACTCACCGTAGCGCAGGTTGCGGCCAACGCTGTCCCGCTGCTGGGGCTGCCAGGAGCCCAGGCGGTAGGCCTTCTTCAGGGACCGTTTGGCGGCTACGAAATCCCCCAGACCCAGCAGCACCTGCGGGCGATCAAGGGCAAAGGTCAGAGACTGCCCTCTCGTCCCCCCACCCAGGGCAGGCCAGGAGCACCACTCGGGATATGGCGACCCTTGTACTCAAAAGAAGACAGAATCCTAGCTCTGAAAGGGGTCTTCTACGCCAAGGTCTCCTGCCCAAGGCTGGAGACCTTATACCATCCCTGTCAAATCGTGGTCCAATCTCTTCTGGAAAATCCCTCGTCATGGAGAACCCAGAACTTCTGCAGGCAAGAGGTTCCGCTGGTTAATTAACAGAATAACAGAGTGGGAAGGGACCTTGGAGGACTTCTAGTCCAACCCCTTTTCCCAAGCAGGAGCCCCTACATCATTCATAACGGATGGATGTCCAATTGCTTCTTGAAAACTTCCAGTGTCCATGAAAGGATATTGATGTATGTTTTAAAAATAAAAACTTTATAAAAGGAAAGGAAAGGAAACCTCCAGTGATGCAGCATCCACAACTGGCAAGATTCATTTTTATGGCCGTGTACATGTAGACATCCGAACTACACTGTGTCGTTTCTCCGTGTCGTATATGTGAGTATTATATGTGAGTAATTTTATTATTTCTTATCTTTCTATCTATCTTGTCATTTATCATCTCTCTATTATCTATGTATCTAATCTGTCATCCATTATCTCTCTCTTTCATCTATTTATCTTCTCTTTATCATCTATCAATAATCTCTCTCATCTATCAATCATCTATCTCTCTCATCTATGTATCTAATCTGTCATCTATTATCTCTCTCATCTGTCTATCATCAATCAATAAATCGTATCTCATCTATCAATCATCTCTCTCTCATCTATT